CCTCCTCTCTCTCGCCCTCCTGGCGGCGATGCTGGCCTCTTCCCTGCAGGCCATCGTCGCTCTGCCGGTCGACAACTCCGATGTCATCGAGGTTACCGCCTGCAAGAAGCCCAGCATCCCCCCCTTCAACTCGGCCACCTACTACAAGGACGCCCTGGCCGTCCAGAAGGACGCCAACCGCCTGCGCGCCACCCTGTCCAGCCTCCTGCACAAGGGCACCTACAAGCACAGCTACTCCTGCGTGTGGGACATCCTCGACCAGGCTGACCAGGTCGCCGGCAGCCCCAGCCACGTCAACCTGATCTACTCCCAGCAGTCCTTCCCCAAGTCCCAGAAGGACACCGGTGGTTCCGGCTCCTACTGGAACCGCGAGCACGTCTGGGCCAAGAGCCACGGCTTCCCCTCCGAGAGCATGGTCGCCTACACTGATGCCCACCACCTGCGTGCCTGCGAGAAGAACGTCAACTCCTACCGCGGCGACCGTGACTTCCACGACCAGGGTAGCCAGATTTGCCTGAACCCCTACAAGGGCTCCCTCTCCGGCTGCAAGGCCATCGGTACCTCCGCTTCCGGCACCTTCGGCCCGCCCAAGGGCAGCCGCGGTGAGGTCGCTCGTATGATCTTCTACATGGAGGCCCGTTACACCGGCCAGTCTTCCAACACCCCGGCCCTCACCATCGTCAACTCCGGCACTTCCTCCGGTCAGCCCCGCCTTGGTTACCTCTGCCGTCTGCTCGCCTGGCACCGTGCCGAGCCGGTCAACGCCCTCGAGCGCCAGCGCAACAACGTCATCTACAGCTGGCAGGGCAACCGCAACCCCTTCATCGACTACCCCGCCTGGGTTGAGACCCTCTGGGGCAAGAAGTGCTAAGCAGGGCGGGGCGGGGCGAGCGTGGCCAATCGCCACATGTGCCGATGTGCATGTCCGTGTCCTGGCTGTTCCTCCTTCCTCTCTCTCTCTCTCTCTCCTCCGCCCCCCCTGGCGAGGAGCGACAGGGCGACAGGGCGAGGTGAAAGGAGCCGCTTAGTTTTGCCTCCCATACGTGTGTGTATGTGTGTGCATGTGCCCCGCGCACCTCCTTTCCCCCCTCCCTCCCCCTCCCTTCCCCCCCTTGCGTACAAGATTGGAGGTCGCGCTGCTCCCTCCTGTCCCTCCCCCTTCCCCCCCCCCCTCTCCGCGTCCATCTATGATGTGCCCGCGCGAATATCGGGGGTTGGTGGTGTGTGGTGTTGTCGTGTCGCGTGCGCGCGCATATCCTCCCTTGTCGTTTTGTGTCAAAATCATCCCCAAAACCAAATACAACATGAATATACCTCCATCTTTGCGCCTCTCTCTCTCTCTCTCTCTCCCTCTCCCTTTCTGTCATTTTCGCATCTCTGCCAAGGGTCGTCCCACATGCTCTGCAGCGGCGCGCACCACACATGCCTTTTTCAGACCCTCGGTGTGGGGATTCGCTCCCATGTGCACATTATCGTTGACAGCGGAGGAGGAAGGGGACGGGGGGGTGCTCTGGGGAGGGGGGCGGTCCCGGAAGACACATTCCCCGGTGGCGGTGCAGACGGGGCTGGCGATTATTTTGCCGAATGGAGGGTGCATGACGAGCTGGCTGCGGGGCTGTGTCTGGACGCATTCCCATGCATGCGACTCGGGGTCTCTCTCTTTCTCTCTCTCTCTCTTTCCCCTTGCCTTGAAGCAGCTGACGATGTGTGTGCCCCGCGCGCAAGGCCCTCCCAAGAGAGGCGCAACTGAGGGATGTGTTGAAGCAGCAAGCCCATGCTGCTGCGGCAGCACGACACGCTGCCCGAAATGGCGATGGACGAGGAAATGTCAGTGAGCCCTCGACTCTAACTGAGTCAGCGGCGCAGGGGCCCGTCGATTAATCTCACACAGATGATCACATGTCATCAGATCCTCCGTCACGCATAGCCGATCTCGCTTGGGCTTTAACTTCTCCCAGATTCCGGGTCTTGGAGGGAGGGGCCTCCCCGGCTGCCTTTCTTCTTTTTCTCTCTCTCCCTCTCTTTCTTCGTCTCTCATCCTCTCAATTGGGGGTATTGCGCAGCAACGTCGGTGGCCGACTTCCGAGCAAATTCCTCCTCCCAGCTCCTCCCATCCTCCCTTACTTCCTTCCCTCGCTCCCTTTCCGCCCCCCACACTCGCCACCCTCTCCCGCCCTCGCCCTTGAACTCCTCTGCACGCTACAGCGCGCTTCTTCGCTGCCGTCCCCCCCCCCATGTCCGGCAATGAGGAATCTCTGAGCCTCGAGGAGACCAAGTGCGTCGTAGCGCTCTTCCCTTCTGCCTGCTCCTCCCTCCCCGACTCCTTGGTCTTCTGGGGCGCAAGATTTTCTAACATGTCTCTCCAGCCGTCTTCGCGCTCAGTTGGGCTTCCCGCTGCTCAAGCCAAGCGACAGCGCCCCGACACCACCGACACCTGCTCCGGCATCAGGCCCCAGCGAAGATGAGATCTCCCGCATGCGCGAGCGCATCGAAAGGTTCGCGCATGTCCCCCCCACTGAGCATGGGCCCAACAAAATGCCCCCCCCCCCTCCCCCCCTGGCCCACCACCCATCTGCCCCCTTTCACTCCCTTCCCCGGCCACTGATCTCCTTTCTACAGCCAGCGCGCCACGCGAAAGGCCAGTACGGTACCGGCCGTGCCCGCTGGCCCGACCAAGTCTCTGGGCGAGGCCGATTTCGATGAGGACGACCCTGCCGACACGTCGTCCTGGATTTCCAAGCATCGTCAACGGTGCGCTGCCTCGTGTGCCTGAGGGAGGGGCAAGGCCGACGCAGGATGGCCATCTCCCCAGTCAGCCTCCACACACTTCCCTAACATCGTGCTCCTCCCGGTGCCATCCCGCCGACCGCTCCTCAAACGTCTGCTTGCCCAGCATGCGCAAGCGCGCCAGTTCCCGCTACGATGAGGAGGATGATCTGGTTCAGGCCCAGGCCAAATCCGCCACCGCCGCCGAGCCAGCGGAGGCCTCTCTGGCCGGCTTGCGTGTTGCCCATGATCTTGGCAATCTGGAAACCGGCCGAGAATACATCCTCACCTTTGCCGACAAGCATGTCCTGGGTAAGCCTCTCCCCGCCTGACGATCTGCCCCGTCCCATGGCCTGCCTCCTTCCTCCCCCATACCTTCCTGCATGTGCATTTACATCCTCCTCTGCCACTACCCCCACCCCGCTTGGATAAAGACGAGAACTCCGAAGACGAGCTGGAGTCCCTGGATCTCAGGGAAAACGAGAAGATCGCCAAGCGCAAGGAGGCCATTGAGCGCTCGCGCAAGGGCTACACCGCCTATGACGATCGCGAGTTCACCGGTGCGTTTCTACGACCGTTCTCCCCCTCCTGCCCCTTGTTCCCTGGCCTGTTCCTCCTGCTCTCACGTCCACTTCCCTGGCTCACCCCCATGCTTCCTTCACCTTGGTGCCCTGTCCCCCCCCCCCCCCCCTGTGCCTGCTCAGACTCCTACAAGCCTGGCAACATCCTCGACAAGTATGACGACATTGCTGGTGATGGTGCCGAGCGTAAGGCCTTCTACTTTGACGAGTCCGGCTTCGCCCAGAAAAATGCTGAGGCCGCCAGCGGGAGGTCGGTCACCGCCGATGATGTGGCCCAGCGACTTCGCGCGGCCGAGTCCATCTCTCTCAAGGCCGTTAGTATGTTGCCACGCAGCGTCTTGTGCTTCTCTCTCTCTCTCTCTCTCTCTCTCATCTCCCTTGAATGCCAAGGTCTCAAAGATTGCATGGCACATATTGACTGTCGCCTCTCCCGCCCCTCCATTTCCCCGCATTCCCCACTGCCGTCAGAGCAACACCAGCAGTCGGATTTCGCTCCGGCTGAGGAGGTCGTTCGCTTCAAGAAGACCGCGCGTTCTGCGGTGTGTTCCTCTGAGTTGCTTCTCACCACTAATCCTTAGTCGTCCTCTGACCATGCCCCCTCGCTTTCCTTACCTTGCCTAGGCCCGGCGAGCCCCCCGCGTGCCGGTGAGCGACTTAATTGCCCAGGAGGAAGCCGAGCTCTTCCTTGGCGCGGCATCAGCCACCGCCGAAATGCCAGCTGCACCTGCGAGCACGGTCCTCGATGAGGCCCCGGTCGCAAGTTACTCCAGCAACCGCCGGCGTCTTGACGACACCAACTTTGTGGATGATGACGACCTCCAGGCCTCCTTGGCTCGGTCCCGGCGGAAGAAGATCCGGTCAAACATTCGCTCACTTGATGAGTCGATCCAAGCGGGTGCGTTGTATGCGGCATGACTCTGCCGACTTCCTCCTCACCTCTTTTTGGACATCATGTACTCACCTTCCGCGCCGCTCCTGCGCGTGCACGCGCGTGCCTGCCCGGCTGTTATTTCGATTTCTCCAGTCCGTGCCACGGCCCCGGACCAGGACCAAGCCAACACCACGGGCGTTACCCTGTCCTTCGCCAGTGAGTTCGCCCGGCAGGTGGTTGCCAACGCCACCGCCGAAGAGGAGGCTCTTTTGGCGGAGGAGGAGGCAGGCGAAGGCGCGGCGGCGGGCCAGGGCCGCGGGGCCACCGTCGGTGATGCCGATTCCAGCGACGACGATGGTGCCGGTGGCGCATCGATGCGCGTCTCAACCGGCGCCGATGACGATGAGGAGGAGGGCGCCATTTCCGATGACCCGGATTTGCCGCCACGTCCGGACACGGTGAGCTCCCGGCGCGGGGCCCGGCACCGTGCGACCGCGGCCGAACCCCAACCAGCGGCCCTGGAGGTATTCGATGAGCCGGTCGTGGCAGCTGGCATCGCCAGTGCCTTGCGTTTTGTCCAGAATAAGGGCCATCTAGAGGCCCCAATGGCTCCGGGGTCCGAGCGACAGAGCGTTTGGGCGGCGCAGTCGATGCTGCTAGAGCGCCGGACGGCCGAGCGCCTGCGTCAGCTTCGTGGGTCGAACCAGGCCGCGCGCAACCGCTCGGCCACGGTGTCCGTGGCCACGGCGGCCCTGGATCGTCCCCGCTCGGAGGAGGCCATCCAAGCCGAGCGGGCACGCATTGAGCATGAGCATCTGAACCAAGTGACGGCGCTCTACCGGAACTATGATCCGACGGTCAACATTCGCTACACGGATGCCTTCGGCCGAGAGATGACTCCGCGTGAGGCCTTCAAGGAGCTGTCGCACAAGTTCCACGGACATACGTCCAGCAAGAACAAGGCCGAGAAGCATCTCCGTAAGGTCCGCCAGGAAATCAGCACTGATAGTCGGACGGGTGCTGCATCTGAGGGGCAGAACCTGTCTGTGGCTACTGGAAAGCGCCGGCCTCGGCCAGGGCCGTCCCCGGGCACCCCGCGGTGACTGTAGTGTTCCACATTACCGCCTTACCTCTCTCTCTCTCTCTCTCTCTCTCCGTCTCTCTTTCTCTCCGTCTCTCTTTCTCCCTTTTCTCGCCAATCTCTCAGAAATGTTGCTCGCCTAGAGTGATTTTCCATTTGAGTATAGCCAGTCCCGGCTCGTCAGCCAGTGCACCGTGAAATAAATCTTCATTTTTTTTTTGCTGATTTGCATTTGGCGCCTTGCCTGTCTCTCCCTCCCTATCCCTCTCTCTCGCCCCCTCTCTCGCCCCCTCTCTCGCCCCCTCTCTTTAGCTCCCTCTACGGCTCTCGACTTGTCTCTCGGAAAAGAGAAGCGGGATCGTCTCGTCCCCCAGGTGTCTATTTCAGAGACGCCAGCGGCTGAAGGGGAACTTCCAGCATCGACAAAATGTCAAGAGGGAAGCCCGGCTCATTGTCGCGCGGACACATGAAAGTCACAACGGAGCCCTGTTCCGGCGGAAGACCAATGCCGAGGGTGTGGTATGCCAGGAGGGCCTCAACCGACCGGTGTGGGATAAATGGCTTCACGCCCAAGTGGGTCATGGCCTTCACCAGGAACTGGCAGTGGCTGACCACCGTTTCGGGAACCTTATTATAGAGGTCATACACCGTGCCGAAGGCCACAAAGAAAAAGAGGCGAAATCCAAAGTTACGAATGGTTTCATGCAGGGAGGCCATCGAGATGTGAAGCTTGATGAAGGAATTCGTCGAGGATGATAGTTTCCGAGAGGCCGGGGGAGTAAGACAGAGCTGATGGATGGATGCACGAGCGGTTGACAGACAGGGCGAAGGGAAGAGGCGGGAGGGGAGGGATTGTCGGTGAGTAAGCAGCGAGTAGAGGGCAAACGGCAGCAGAAAGGGCATTTGACAGGGGGGGTAGGTCATACTCCAGTGACGATGTCCCACACAGCCCGAACATAGAACTCCTCGACCGTCTGGCAATGATCTGCCCCGAAGACATGCCCCAGGCCCAAATAGGCCAAAGCACGTCCCAGTGTCAGGGGAAGACCCTCTTCGAGGAAGAGGAACCCAGGATGAGCCTGAGGCTCGGCCTGGTGATATTCCGGGGAAAGGGAAAAAAAAACACAAGGGGGATGTCAGGAGGGCGGTCGCAACTCAGGCAGAACAGCGGCGAAAGCAAACGCACCACCTCCACATGTGCGGTATTTTCTCGGATGATCTCATCCTGGAGCCGGAGTGGAAGACATTGACGGGAGAGGAGGGGGGAACATCCGACATCAGCATGACATCAACAAGCGGTATGGCAATGGGGAATGCAAAGAGACATCTCGCAGAAGATGCCACCCGCAATTGCCTCGCCTCAGAGCAGTAGCACCATGCAGAAGCACGCACAATCAGATGGATGGACCGGGAGTTGGCATCGCGAATGAGGGCATAATCCAAGAAGCTGTTGCCAAGCAGAGACGACCCCTCCTTGATGTAGAAGGCCAAATAGCCGGCATTGTTCACGGCATCGAAGCGCTGCGTCACCTCGGCGAAAGTGAGCTCCGAGATCTTCAGGTCATCACAAAGCCACCAAAGAGCCTGGCCGTCCGCCGACAGCTCGTGCCGATTGAGCATCATGTAGTAGTGACCGCCGTCGTTGTCCTGGCGCTTGAACATCACAAGGGCATGCAGGACAAAGGGGTCCGAGCCCACGGCATTGATGGCCTCATACTGCTGGGAGATGACCTGCTTGACCCAGGAAGCATGGTCGTTCACCGGCTGGAAGATCTTCGACAGGGCAGTGACATCTGCGGGAGATCCGCAAAGACAGGGGGTTAGGCGGGGAGGTTGGCTGGAGGGAGAGCAATGGCCAAGGCGCGACCGGCTGACGCACGTTCTGCCACAGTGTGAGAGGCAACCTCCCCGTTCGGGTACCGAAGTGTCAGGGATGCACTCGGACTTGAGCAATCAACCCAACTGTTGAATGCATCCTGGAAGTGGGACAAGGCCGCGGATAGGTCGCGCTTGTGGCGATCCTCATGCAAGGTTTGCCTCAGGTCGAAAATGCACTTGAAGGTTTGCGCCAGGTTTTCTTGGTGAAAGGGCCCCAAGTTCAGTCGCTCGGGGAAAACCACCTGGCTCAAATTGTCCCGGCTGGTTTGACTGATGTGGAAGCACATGACCTCGGCCGTGGATTTCAGCATCCATGGGCGCTGGAACTCCTCCAGGCTGCTTGGCATGATCTGGCGGATTTGCTCCTCGGTAGCTGGCTCGCCACTGGACAGGACCGTTCGCGCCAGGGAAAAGTCGCAAAAGGGGAACATCTGTTGGAGGAGCAGATCTTCCAGGTGCGAAACCCCGGCTCCGGGGGGGATGATAAACTGCGGCAAGGAGGATAACAAGGGCCGGATCCGAAGCGCGGGGGACATGTGAGACCAAATGGGGCCGAGTAAGGGGGACCGGGGTGTGCATGCGCGCGCGTGTGTGTGTGTGTGGGGGGGGGGGGGAGGGGGGGGAACTGGAGGGACCAGGAAGGGGGACCGTGTCAAAGGGACGAACCATGGTTGTACTGTCCTGCGGGGAAATGGATGCCGTCTTCAGTAGACGATCGACCTCGGTGTGATTCAATTCCAGGTGCTCCTGGAAGCTGACATGGTTCTCGGTGAAGCGGAACAGATCGGGCATGCTAATGCAGTACTGGGTGTGAGAGAGCCCGAGCAACTCTGGACAAGGAAGAGTATGTGTATGTATGTATGTATGTGTGTGTGTGTGTGTGTGTGTGCATGTATAGATCCAAGGAAGAGGGGGGAAAGGTAAAATGCAGCACACTGTAGGTACCTGGTCTTTGGTGGGCTCGGGGTGGCTGGCGACCCTGCCAGGCTCCCAGGGCTCGGGGCCCTCATGGCTGTGGCCACCTCTTCGACGATCTCCATCAGCTTGGACAGAACCTCAGATGGGTCCTGTTCAGAGTTGAGATTGATGCCATGGAAGAGCGGATGGGCCTCCAGGGCGGCAATCAGTGCTGCCGGGTCAATCTGAGTGTAGACTATCTTCGACACCTTGCGAAGATACATCCGACATAGTTCCAGGAGCACTGAATGTCCGCCCACAGCAAGACAAGGCAAGGGGATAGGTCGACGGTTAGTGTGGAAGGGGGGAAAGAAGAAGGGGATGGGAGAGAAGCGGAAAGCAGCTGGGCCATGAGGGGGGGGGGGGGCCAAACGCACCCCGCTCAGAGTGGTTGGTGGTGCTCGGATGGATGCGCGCGGTATTCTGCAAGATCGGCTGCATAAGCCGTGGGATGCTGAAGAGAGTTTGTAGGAGGGCACTCAGGTGGCAGGTGAGGCCCTTGTTGAAGATGCCAACCGGGCTTCGGGCAAGGTGGCTGTCAATAAAAAAAAAAAAAAAGGTGCGCGCAGGCTTTGTGGTGGAAGGAGGGCGGGATGCAGTGCAAGCTTCTTCACTTGTCCCAAAGGGGAGTGGCGCACACATGGGGAGGGAGGGGTTCATCCAAGCCGGTGTCAGAAAAGGAGGGAGAGGGAGAGGGAGTGCTCGACACCATTGGCAACAGGGTGGGCCTCGTCCAGTGAGGAGCGCACGCGTGCGTGCGTGGGGAGGGATACACCGAAGAGAAGGGTACGAGGTGACGGAAGGAAGGAGAGAGAAGGGGAGGGGAAGAGCGAGGGGCGACAACGGCGGCGGGGGTTTACATGAGACGTGGCCCAGGAGCAGATTGGTGTGAGCCTCGGAAAAAGGTTCCCCCCCCCCCC